GACTCGTCAGCAGCCGGCGATAGAGCGGTGACATTCTTGGCATTTACCAATCGAACGGTCCCGATACTAATACAGCTCACTTTGTACAACAGGCACCCTGTGGATGTCCAATAGGAATTCAATAGAACGAAAAATACCAATTTGGGGCCCGGGATTTAGCTGAGTGGCACAAGCGCCTGCTGGCAAGCGCAAGGTCCTGAGTTCGAATGCCGGTACCAAAAAAAAAAAAAGAAATCAAGTCGATGAGTTCGACGGCTAAGAGAATCGATAGTCCAGTAACATGTAGTGTCACAATGACGAAATATATTTTAAACTTTTATGAAAATTCTAACTTAAATGATATTTATTTTGGGCCTCTTTAATTATCTTAATTCTGATATCTCTTTTTAGTCAGATCCTCTAGATTTTGCTGATTTTCTAATTATTCCCTCTGTGGGTACTTCACTAGAGAATACTTTTTCTTAAAAGTACTGTCTGTAGTTCTGTGTGTTGGCTGGTCAACTGGCTGGCCATCTGCCCCTACCTTTGGAACAGGTATCCCAACGATTTTGCAGGTAAACGTGACTGGCGAGCCTTCTGTAACCCGGAAGTGCTTGAGTCTTTTGTCAAAGATGGGAGCAATACACTTGCCCGTGGGAATCTCATCATGCTGGATTTCATCATCTGATTCATCAACAGGTGTACGTTCCAAGCGAAACTCTATTTCGTTCATCAGCCTCTGTTCGAAGCTTGAAATTTTGTATTCCTGTCAAAATGATAAATATTTTTGAATTTCTATTTCTATGGTGGTATATCCATCAGCATAATTGAGGACACAACTTTTGAAGATTCAGATGTTAGATTCATACCATGAAATATCAATAAACTGGCATATTCCATTTCCAATTCCTTGCCATAAAGTACTAAAGGAGTCTCAGACTGCCTTAGTTAATCCGGATTCCTCGCCTTGTGTAGGGAGCCCCAGTAGAGTTCTGTGGGGAATAGAATGAAGATGGAACCTAATTTCTGTAACTACTGTTAATGTACATTTAAAAACACAGAGCTGCTTATAAGATTTTTGTTGTTATTTTTTTTTGAGTCAACGTCTCACTATGTAGTTTAGGTTGATTTTGAGCATATTTTGTAGCCCAGGCTGGTCTTGAATTTGGGGCAGCCCTCCTGCCACAGCCACCAAGTGCTGGGGTTACAGTTGTGTGCCACTACACCTGACTACCATAGGGATATTTTGGCAAAGCTGTTCTGCACTTCATTCTGGTCCATGCCTGCATCACCCACTTCCTGTCTCTACTGGACACTCCTATCCCTCTACTTGGGGAAATCCTATTTTGAATAATCGCTTTTTTTTTTTTTTTTGGTAGACAGGGTCTTGCTCTACAATCCAGCTGACCTTGAACTCACTATGTAGCCCAGGCTGGCTTCGAACTCAAAGCAATCCTGCCTCAGTCTCCTGAGAGCTGGGATTGCAGGCGTGTACTAACACACCTAGTGAATAATCTCTCTTAATCCCAAGCTGCCTTCATTGCATTTCTCTGTGCCCGTCAGAGCAGAACTGTCTGAAATGACTATTGTTGCAGGACCATTTTCTCAACACCTATTCTCTTCCTGGCCACCCCAATTAGGCTGTGCTCTTACCAGTTCCCTGAAATGCTACTGGCAAGGTGTCCATATCTACCCAATCGAATCATCATTTACGTGTTCCCACCTAACCTCTCAGAAGTGTTAGTCAGAGGTGCCTACTTTTCCTTTCTGAGGCACTTTCTTCTGTTGGGCTCCAGGACACACTGTGCCTGGTTTCCTGCTCTTTCTCTAGCAGCATCTGGTCAGTCTCCTCAGCTGGCTCCTCTGCCTCTGCCCCTAGTGGTCTCACTGAGCCTGGAAGATTTGGACACCTTCCTACGCTGAGAACTCCCACGCCGTCTCTCCAAACCTGTTCTCCTGAAGCCCAACCATCTACTCCACAACATGGAGCCCAAGAAGCACCTTGGACGTAGCACAGTGCAAACAGTGCACACTTGATTTTTGTTCACAAGGTGCTCCTCACCGAGCCCTCCCCTCAG